TGATCACGCCGGCTCCCTCCAGCACATTGTCCTTACCCCGCCCCCACGTCCTCACCTGTTCCCAACTGGAATAATCCAAGACAGAGCAGAATGGCCACAGCCCCTGGCTGCTCAGGCCCCAGGACCCCCTTCTGGGCCATGGCCCAGGACAAGGGCCCCTGGGGCAGACTCCAGGAGCACAAGGTAGGAAACTAGGGGTGGTGTTGAAGGCAGGACCCAGATGTTGGCTCAGAGGGAAGGATAGCAGAATTCGGGCTGGGAAGGGGCAGCAGGTGTCCAAGGCTGGCCTCTAAGGCAGGGAGCGGCCACAGCAGGAGACGCCTGGAGTCTCCTCAGCGAGCAGTGTGGACGAGTCACTGGCACGGTCTGGCTACGCAGGGTCCTCCCAGGAGTGGCTGCACTTACCTGCCCGCCCCTCCCCTGGCCCCGCCCTCTGGCTCTTCCTGCCACCAAAGTCAAGAGTCCTTCCAGAGCCCCAGGCCCGCCTGTGTGTGCCTGTCTTTGTGTGTGTGTTCCAGTGTGTAGTACGAGGTGTGATGTGTGTGTATGCTTGTGTAGGCTGTGTGTGTCCCTTGTATGGTGTGTGTATGTGGTGTGGTGTATGTGTGTACATGTGTAGGTCGTGTGTGTCCTTGTGTGTGTAGTGTCTTGTGTGTGCACGCACGTGCATGTGGTATGTGTGTGTGTGTGTGCGCGGCCTCCCTGGAACGTGACTCTCCTCCGCCTCACGTCTTTCAGATATCTCAGGCCAGTTATGCCCCCCAGGGCCTCCCTCCCTTCTTAGGCCAGGAACCGGAGTTTAAGACACCAGGATCCGATATCCATCAGGTCCTTTCTGCAAAGCCAGCACCTCATGGGTGGTAGCGAGCTTGTCCGGCAGCACCAATCATCCCGCAGACATTTCCTGAGTGCCTATGATGCTCCCAGGTGCCCAGGACAAAACAGACACCAGCCCCATCCCCGCTGAGCCATGAGCTGGTGAAGTAGGGGTGACAAATATTACACTCAGGCTGGCAAGGTGGCTAGTCTGCTTTGGGAGGCTGAGGCTGGAGCATCGGTTGACACCAAGAGTTCCAGACCAGCCTGGGCAACATAGTGAGGCCTCATCTCTACAAAAAAATATAAAAATTAGGCAGGTGTGCTGGTGCATGCCTATGGTCCCAGCTACTTGGGCGGCTGAGGCAGGAGGACTGCTTGAGCCTAGGAGTTTAATGCAGCATTGAGTTATGATCACACCACTGCAGTCCAGCCTGGGCAACAGAGGGAGACCCTATCTCAAAAAAAAAAAAAAAAAAAAAAAAGCCAGGCATGGTGGTGCACGCCTGCAATATCAGCACATTGGAGGCCAAGGTGGGTGGATCATGAGGTCAGGAGTTGGAGACCAGTCTGACCAACATGGTGAAACCCTGTCTCTACTAAAAATACAAAAAATTAGCTGGGTGTGGTGGCGGGCACCTGTAATCCCAGCTCCTCAGGAGGCTGAGGCACAAGGTTTGCTTAAACCCAGGAGGCAGAGGTTGCAGTGAGCCAAGATTGTGCCACTGCACGCCTGCCTGGGTGACAGAGCAAGACTCTGTCTCAAAAACAAAAAAATGTAATTACACAATAATTTCAAGCTAGAAATAGTGATGAAAGAGAATGGCATGATCGAATCACAGCCTGGCAAAGGCTGGCATCATAAAAGGGTCCTTGATGAACTGCCTTGACAGCTGAGACTGAAAGAGGTTAAGAAAGGCGGTAAGGTGAAGATGGGAGGATGGAGTGGAGAGGGCAGAGGCTCAGGGAAAGAAGGCCCACCGTGTGGCTGCAGTGGGAGGGAGGCATGTCCTCTGGTGCGGACCTCTGGTCATTCAAAACACCTGTTGAGGCTGGGTGTGGTGGCTCATGCCTGTAATCCTAGCACTTTGGGAGGCTGAGGTGGGAGGATCACCTAAGGTCAGTAGTTTGAGACCAACCTGGCCAACATGGTGAAACCTTGTCTTTACTAAAAATACAAAAAAATTACCCAGGCGTGGTGGCGCATGCCTGCAATCCTAGCTACTGGGAAGGCTGACACAGGACAATCACTTGAACAAGGGAGGCAGAGATTACAGTGAGCCAAGATCGCGCCACTGCACTCCAGCCTGGGTGACAGAGCAAGACTCCGTCTCAAGACAAAAACCAAACAACACCTGTTGGGTCTGAGCTTCAGGAAAAGCAGAGCCTCGTGTCCCCACCTGCTTTCCAGAGACCAGCTGTCTAGGGCCCAGGCTGGAGGTCAGGTGATTCCTCTGGTAGGTGAGTGGAAGGGGCCTGACTGGAAGGGGTCTTAGCTGGGAGGAGGGGGCAAGATATGGGCCCTGATAGGTGGGTTTTGGCAAAGGATGGGGTATGTGTAGTGTTTGTGGGAATGGCATGGGGTGACTGGCTGGGAATGGGAGCAGGTGGGGATGTACACACCATGAAGATCCTGGGGATTATTCTAGCTGGCATGTAGGTGCTAAGGCTAAGCCTGGTCTTATAAGAACCTCCGGCCTGGCCAGGCGTGGTGGCTCACGCCTGTAATCCCAGCACTTTGGGAGGCCGAGGCGGGTGGATCATGAGGTCAAGAGATGGTGAAACCTCGTCTCTACTAAAAATACAAAAAATTAGCTGGGCATGGTGGCGCGTGCCTGTAATCCCAGCTACTCAGGAGGCTGAGGCAGGAGAATTGCCTGAACCCAGGAGGCAGAGGTTGTGGTGAGCTGAGATCGTGCCATTGCACTCCAGCCTGGGTAACAAGAGCGAAACTCCATCTCAAAAAAAAAAAAAAGAAAAGAAAAAAGAATCTCTGGCCTTTTTCTCAGCCTCTCAGTGAAAACTTCCAGCTTCTCTCTAGGTCCTTTATCTTCTTCCTCTTTCTTCTCAAGCCAGGGATTGTGCCCAGACCTAGAAGCGACCCTTCTACCATCCTCATCAGCTGGCTTTCACTCCAAAACCCAAAACCTACTCTTACTCCATTTGTCTTTTTTTTTTTTTTTTTGAGATGGAATCTCACTCTGTCGCCCAGGCTGGAGTGTAGTGGCATGATCTAGGCTTACTGTAACCTCTGTCTTCTGGGTTCAAGTGATTCTCATGCCTCAGCCTCCCCAGTAGCTGGGATTACAGGCACCCAGCTAACTGTTGTATTTTTAGTAGAGATGGGTTTCACCATCTTGGCCAGGCTGGTCTTGAACTCCTGACCTTGTGATCTTTCTGCCTTGGTCTCCCAAAGTGCTGGGATTACAGGCGTTAGCCACCGCGCCCAGCTGTCCTTTTTCTTTTTGAGACAGGGTCTCACTCTGTTACCCAGGCTGGAGTTTAGTGGTACAATCATAGTTCATTGCAGCCTTGAACCCCCGGGCTCAAGTGCTGCTCTCGCCTCAGTCTCCCAAGTAGTTGGGACTACAGGTGCGTGCTATCATTCCTAGCTAATAAAAAAAAAAAAAAATTGTGGAACTGGATGTGGCGGCTGACACCTGTAATCCCAGCACTTTGGGAGGCCGAGGCGGGAGGATCACTCAAGGTCACTCAAGGTCAGGGGTTTGAGACCAGCCTGGCCAATATGGTAAAACTCCATCTCTACTAAAAAATTATCCAGGCATGGCAGTGCATACATACCTGTAATCTCAGCTACTCAGGAGGCTGAGGCAGGAGAATCACTTGAACTGAGAAGCCAAGATTTCGCTATTGCACTTCAGCCTGGGCAACAGAGGGAGACTCCGTCTCAAAACAAATAAATAAATAGGCCGAATATGGTGGCTCATGCCTGTAATCCCAGTACTCTGGGAGGCCGAGGCAGACAGATCACCTGAGGTCAGGAGTTCAAGACCAGCCTGGCCAATATGGAGAAGCAAAAATACAAAAATTAGCCAGGCATGGTGGTGGGCATCTGTAATCCCAGCTACTCAGGAGTCTGAGGCAGGAGAATCACTTGAACCTGGGAAGCGAAGGTTGCAGTGAGCTGAGATTGTGCCATTGCAGTCTAGCCTGGGTGACAGGAGCGAAACTCCATCTCAAAAAATAAGAATAAAAAAAATAAATAAACAAAATACAAAAATTATCTGGGCGTGTGGCTTGAGTCTGCAATCCTAGCTACTTGAGGCTAAGGCAGGAGGATCGCTTGAACCCAGGAGGCAGAGGTTGCAATGAGCAGAGATCGTGCCACTGCACTCCAGTCTTAACATCAGAGTGAGACTGTCTCAAAAAAAAAGTGGAGATGGGCGTCTTGGTTTGTTGCCCAGGCTGGTCTTGAACTTCTGGCCTCAAGTGATCCTCCCACCTCAGCCTCCCAAAGTGCTGGGATTATAGGCGTGAGCCACCACACCCTGTCGGGTTTCAATTTAATTTTTAATTGTAGATTCATTGGCTGGAAAACACCTGCCCTTTTTCTGTGCTCAAACATCACTTCTACGACCTCTTCCCGATCCCCAGCCAGGGGTGTCCACATGTGTCCTCACTAGATTGGGAGCACTTTGTGGGCTTATGTATCAGAACTTAATTGTGCCACAACTTGGCAGCTAGCAGGGAACACAGGTTGAATGAATGCAGGTAGGTGCAGGTAAGTGGTGGGTGAGGGAGTGGGATTCACATACAAGGGACTCAAGTTCTGAGCAGAATGTAAAAGCGGCGGGCCCTTGAAGGGTCTGAGTATTGTGTTTGTCCAGGGGACACATCAGAGCATCATACATCAAGCTGTGTCTATGGCAGACAGCAAGGGCAGCAGATCTGAGCTGGGGGTGAGATGTCTAGCAGGTGCTGAGGGTGCTGACTCCACTGGGCAGGTGACACACAGGCAGCTGGCCACCCGACCTCCCTGCCCTGCGGCAGGAATGAAGGAATAGCTGCCAGGTTATCAGGACACATTTCCTGAGAGCCCAAGGCCTGACTCAGAGGCTGGAGGAGGGAGGAGGGAGAGGACCTCCCACTTGGGCTTCCCGCTTAGCCTCTGATGCCCAGCCCCTCAGCCTGCCCACAGCAATGCCACAAGGCCACACAGGTGCCTGTGTTTACACCTTTATTGTCCACTCCTCCCACCACCCCCAAGGATTCCTGGGCTCAAAATAGCCCAGGCACTGAGGCCCAATTAGCCAGAGCCGCTGCAATCTAGGTGGGTGGGGCCCTCGAGGTGCCAGCCGGCTGGGCCACATTCCAGCCCCACCGGGCGGGAAGTAGAGGGTGGAGAAGGGGTAAGTGGCGCTGGAACCCCAGCCCCTCAGCTCTGGATCAGGAGAGTCAGCAACAGCAGGAAGCGGACTGCGTGCGGGGAGCCCGAGGCCCTGGCCAGTTGTGGGGGGCAGAGGTTGCTGTCTCCAGTGGGCCAGTGTGGGGAGCCACTGAGGGGCAGGAAGTGGGCCTCTCCCACTGTCTGGGAGATCCAGGCCTCTTCAGGGCCAATGGCGGCAAATAGCTCCCGGCTTCCTTGAACAGCCACGCCCACGAGGACCCAGGAGCCTTCCATCGTCTGGCACAGGAGGGGCGGTGCTGAGCTCATCTATAGTTGGAAGGAGATCATATGGGTCTGCTGTTCTTCCTTTTGGTCCCCTGCCCCTTTCTCCAGGGTCTGGCTACAAAGCACTCTGGTCTGCATCCCTAGACATCCAGGTCCCTAGTTTCTCTCCCGGGTCCAGCCAGGGTCCCTTTTGAGGCTCAACACCCAAGAATTTCAATCCTGGTCAGGCACCAGTGCCTGTAATCCCAGCACTTTGGGAGGCCAAAGTGGGCGGATTACCTGAGGTCAGAAGTTTGAGACCAGTCTGGCCAACATGGTGAAACCCTGTCTCTACTAAAAATACAAAAATCAACCAGGCGTGGTGGTGTATGCCCAGTTACTAGGGAGGCTGAGGCAGGAGAATCGCTTGAACCCAGGATGTGATGGTTGCAGCAAGCTGAGATCACGCCACTGCACTCCAGCCTGGGTGACAGAGCAAGACTCCGTCTCAAAAAAAATAAATAAATAAAGATTCCAATCCAGGTCCAGCAGTCCAACACTGCTTCTCCCCTGCCTCCCTGAGGACACCCAGGCCCCTGTACCTCACACCTGTCCTCCTGTCCCTCTGCATACAGGACACAGAGGGTTCCAGGGGACAGGATGCCCTGATAGAGACAGTGGCAGATTCGTGGTGTCAAGATGGAGACAGCAGCAGCCACAGGGACTGGGGAGAGGAGACAGAGTTGTTGCAGCGCTCTGGTCTCCAGCCACTCCTCGTTCCCATGATGCAGGGCACTCACCTCGGTCCCGGGGGTCTTTCCAGCCCAACACCCAGCAGCTAGCTCCTGGGGGGACACCAGCCGGGTGGAGACAGATGGGCAGGGCTGATGGGGATGGCTCCACCCGGGAGCTCAGCTCAAGGAGGGCCAGCGGGGGCCTGAGTCCCAGGTGCCGGGGCAGCCGGATGCTGATGACAAAGCGGGATACCTGGTGGCCCTGTGGGAGGGGGCTGGCCCCTGCCCGGCCCGGATACACTTCAATGTAAGGCACTGTTGTAGAGCCTGGCCTGTTGGAACAAGACCCAATGTCACCTTCTGCTCCTCCCATTGTTGACAAAGTCCTTCCCAGCCCAGGGGAAGGATGACTCTCTGGGGTCATGCCACTCACTCCTGTCACCCCTCCTTCCAAATCTCCTTCTGGGTCAAAACATCACCCAGTGCTGTAAGATCCTTTCCCCTTCCCCACCCACCCCAGATAGTCTTGCTCTGTCGCCCAGGCTTGAGTGCAGTGGCATGATCTTGGCTCACTGCTGCCTCTGCCTTCTGGGTTCAAGGGATTCTCCTGCCTTAGTCTCCCGATTACTGGCACCTGCCACCACGACCAAATAATTTTTGTATTTTTAGTAGAGATGGGGTTTCACCATGTTGGCCAGGCTGGTTTCGAACTCCTGACCTCGTGATCCACCCACCTTGGCCTCTCAAAGTGCTGGGATTATAGGCATGAGCCACTGCACCTGACTGTAAAATGCTTAAAGGAGAATATCTCACTATTTTAAGAGTTCTTTGGGTCAGGCATAGTAGCTCATGCATAGTAATCATAGCACATTGGTCAAGGCAGGAGGATTGCTTGAGGCCAGCCTGGGCAACACAGCGAGATCCCATTGTTAATTGTTTTTAAAACAAAGAACAAAAACAAGTCATTTGGCTTTGTCCTATTTTCCCCTTCAGCCTCTAGCCTAGGAGATGAGTGAGACCCACCTGAGGACACAGTGAGTGGCTACCAGGACCCAGGCTGGAGCCAGGAGAATCCCAGTGCAGACTCGATCACCAGCCACATGCACCTCTGCTAGCCAGGGCCACAGGACCCCCATTGAAGCAGCCTCCGGCCGCAGGCCACAGGCTAGGGAGAGGAGATGGCCACCTCAGCTGGGGCCCTGTGGCTGACCCCTGAGCCCCTGCCATGGGTCTATGTGCCCCCAGGGGTCCCTAGGCCCCAAAGGTGTCCTGCTCACCACCATACTCTGTGTGAGGGGGACAAGTCTGTGTCTCAGTCTCTTCCCCATCAGGGCCCCAGTCCCAGGCAAGCTGGTCCTCCAGGTAGGCTCCTCGAGTCACATGACTGATCCATGGGCCATGGGTCTGCAGAGGGAAGAAGGCTCGGGGACGTAGACAGCTACTGGGGAAGTCTCTAATTCCAGCCAGAAACCAGGTCCCCTCCTCCTGGCACAAAAGGCTCCAAGACGAGTCATTCTGCAACAAAGTGCTTGTGTTACTTGCCTCTGCGCCTGCGCAGAGAATATCAGCGCTCCTGGGGCTTTCCAGTACCCCAGATTTTCCCGTTTGCGGAAATATCAAGTTCTACCTTCTCCAAATCAGACTCCAAATACTAATTTGTGTAAGAATTCAGCTTTCTCCTTAAATCTAGGGATAGAAACTACAGCAATCCCCGCCTCAGAGCCCGCCTCAATCCACTCCCCAAAATTCTCTAGGGCCAGGCCCTGCCCCGAGCTCGTCTGGCCCCGCCTACACTCCGGCTCCGCCCCAATCCCAGTTCCGCAAGCCCCGCCCCTCCCTGGAGCCCACTCGGACCCGCCTTCCGCAGGCCCCGCCCTCTCCCTAGAGCACTCTCAGACCTGGCTGGGCCCGGTCCCCGCCGCTTACCCAGCAGCGGCCCGCTTCCTCCTCCTCCCGGTAGGCAGGGCATAGCGCGTGCGGCGGGTCTCCCGGCAGCGGCACTGCCGCCCCCTGGCGGCCGTACAGGCAGTGGCACCACCACCCGCCTAACAACTCCGCCTCCAGCAGCGCGCTTGGGCCAGGCGCGGGTTCTGGGAGAGAAAAGGCAGGAGCTCGTGCTGCGGCCCAGATGGCCCCTGCCCCGCTCGGCGCCGTTCCGCCCAGCGCCGGGCCCCGGCTCACCCCCGCGGCCCCAGCGGGCCAGGCGGCAGCGGCTCCCGGGCAGGAAGTAGTGTTCCAGGTGGGGTAGGCACACGGGCCGCGGGGCCACGCTCAGGTTCACGGGTGCGCCCAGCTGCAGCAGCGCCAGGTCGGAGGCGTCGTCCCACGTGGCGTTCTCGTGGGGCACCAGGCGCGCCACCCGCTCTGCGCGCGAGCGCGAGGGCAGCAGCACTCGCCAGGTGTCGAGGTCGCGGGGCGGGCCGTCCAAGCTGCTTCGGCTGCGGGATGGGGGGTGGGGGACGTGGGCCGAATCCCGCACACGTGGCTGAAAACCTCGCACCCCTAGCTTAGACTGTCTAGGAGAGGATCCTGCATCCCTGGTGGGATCCCGACCCCACCCCATTTCAATGGCTTACTTACAACCCTGCCTCTGGGATCGGACTTCTACCACGCCTCTACCCACCTCTGCTAGTCCAGGACCCCTCTTTTTGTGCTGGATCCTACGCCTCCGAATGGGACCCCGCACCCCCCGACGCCCCTCAGGGGAGGGGCTGGGGCCATGTAGAGGGTGTCGGTCTCAGGCTGATGTGGGGAGGAGCAAGGATCGGCCTAAAACGTGGATTCTCACTCACTCCAGAAAGCAGCTGGCAGGTGCCAAGACCCAACTTTCAGACACCAGCGTTCCATAGCAGGGTCTGGATCCTGGCACCATCACCTGGGCCTCCCAGGGCCAGGCCCCTGGCCGTGGGGCCTTCCCGCACTCTGAGGGGTGAGAGGCCTGGGTCAGGGGGCATCTTGCACCCTATCACTCCCAGCAGCCTCCATCCCAGCTCAAATCTCCTGTGTCCTGCTCACATTCAGGAGTGTCGCCCACTCACCAGGCAGGGCAATGGTGCAGTTCTCCTCCCTGAGCTCCTGGGGATCTGACTGGGGCTTCTGGGGCTGGATGGGAAAGGCAGGTCCAGGCTCTGAACCCATAACCTGTTCCCGTATCCATGCCTCATAGGAAGCCACGGCAGTGAAAACTCCAGGGCGGTTTCTCCGTCCACAGCCAAAGCCAAAGCTGGTGATTCCTGCCTGGAACCAGCGGCCGCCTTCCTCACAGACCAGGGGCCCCCCAGAGTCACCCTGGTGACAGATGACCACATGTCAGAGGGTCAGCCCAGGGACCCACCCGTTTATACTGGCCTACTCAAAAAGGTCCTGCACCTCCTTTGGGCCCAACATACAGCCACTTTGTCCCTTCTCCTAGAAACCCTCCTTGGCTGGGCCTTGTCCTCTGCATTTCCTGGGGCTCTATAAACGGAAGAAAGCCCTGTAAGCAGAAGGCTGATGGCAGCCAGAGCCAAGAGCACCAGGCAAGTCCATTCAAGGCCATGCAAGAGAACGCTGCAGGCATCATCAGAGCCAAGTGATTCTTGTCCAGTGTCTAGTTCAAATAATTTCCCTCTCTCCCTTCCTTTCTTCTTTCCTTCCCTTCCTTTTTCTTTTCTTTTTTGAGACGAAGTCTTGCTCTGTTGCCCAGGCTGGAATGCAGTGGCGCAATCTCGGCTCACTGCAACCTCTGCCTCCTGGGTTCAAGTGATTCTCCTGCCTCAGCCTCCTGAGTACCTGGGACTACAGGTGTGCACCACCACAGCCAGCTCATTTTTCTATTTTTAGTGGAGATGGGTTTTCACCATATTGTCCAGGCTGGTCTCAAACTCCCGACCTCAAGTAATCCGCCTGTCTCAGCCTCCCAAAGTGCTAGGATTACAGGTGTAAGCCACTGCACCTAACTTCTTTTCTTTTTCTCTTTGTTCCAGACGAGGTATCTTTATGTTGCTCAGGCTGGTCTCAGACTTCCGGGCTCAAGTGATCCTCCAGCCTCAATTTTCTGATTAGCTGGGATTAGAAGCCATGAGCCACTGCTCCTGGCTATGCTGCCTTTGGTTTTAAAATTCATTCAGGCTTGGCCGGACACGGTGGCTCACACCTGTAATCCCAGCTTCTTAGTAGGCTGAGGCAGGAGAATTGCTTGAATTCGGGAGGTGGAGGTTGCAGTGAGCTGAGATCGTGCCATTGCACTCCAGCCTGGGTGACAAGAGCAAAACTCCATCTCAATCAATCAATTCACTTGGCTGGGCACAAGTGCATACAAAATTAGCCGGCTGTGGTGGCGAATGCCTGTAATCTCAGCTACTCGGGAGGCTGAAGCACAAGAGTCACTTGAGCTTGGGAGGTGGAGGTTGCAGTGAGCAGTGAGCTGAGATTGTGCCACTGCAGTCCAGCCTGGGCGACAAAGCGAGGCTCTGTCTCAAAACAGACAAACGACCCCATCCATTAGCAATCTTGCCCTCCTTTTGCTGAGGTTTGGAGAGATGGCATTTATCTATTTCTCACTGGTTAGGACTCTGGCCCTGCCAGGTAGATGCAGGGGTCTCCCCTCACCTGGCAAGTGTCCCTGCGGCCCTCCGGGTAACCAGCACACAGCATCCCTGGCAATAGCTGGAGAGTGAGGTTGAAGGGACCGGGCCGGCTGTAGAGACACTGACAGGCAGCCTTGCCCAGCAGCCTTAGCTCCACTTCCTGTAGCACCCAGGGGAGAGGCAGAGGATCTGGGGCAGAACCAGAGAGCAGGTGCTGTGAGGCAGGTATGGAGTCCCCAGCTCCCAGGGCTCAGGTTTGCCCCCTCCAGCTGCTTCTTGGACATCAGCTAGATGCCGCATAGCTCCTCAGCCCACCACATTCACCACGTCTCCTCCTGCTCCTATCTGTTCTTTCTACTTTTTTTTTTTGAGGCAGAGTCTCGTTCTGTTGCCCAGACTGGAGTGCAGTGGCGCGATCTCGGCTCACTGCAACCTCCGCCTCCTGGGTTCAAGTGATTCCCCTTCATCACCCTCCCGAGTAGCTGGGACTACAGGCATGTGCCACCATGCCCAGCAAATTTTTTGTATCTTTAGTAGAGATGGGATTTCACTGTGTTAGCCAGGATGGTCTCGATCTCCTGACCTCAGGTGATGCGCCTGCCTTGGCCTCCCAAAGTGCTGGGATTACAGGCATGAGCCACCATACCCGACCTCTTTCTACTTCTTCATCTCAGGAATGGTTCCACGAACTCCTAGTGAGAGCTACCGTGCATGGTTGTGCAGGTTGTGCACTGCAACACTGGATGAAATGTAGGCACTAAAATCATTAAGTTCTGAGCCCACACGTGGAGTTGTGTTGGTCCAGAGGTTACCCTTTTCACAAAGATGCCATATGGACGCCATGTAGCCCTGTCGTGAGTTGCTAAGCATGGAATCACGGTGTCATCCCTGCCTCCTCTCTCAACTCCTCTCCCCCAGTCAGTTCCCAATTAGTGAAAATCTGTGACTTCTTGGCATTCTCACCAACTGCTTTAGTTGAGGCTGCATAGCTGTGGGTCTGGATAACTAATGCAGCCTTCTGGCCAGCCTCTTCCCCTGAATGTTGTTCATTACTGATAAACATTCAAGGTCAGCTCTGATCTCACCAAGAAAAAGAATGGATCCCACTGTCTAAACCTGGTACCACAGCCCCATCCTGCTTTTGATTGAAACAGCTTCAGGATCCAGAAAGAAGTAGGAGGTAGGGGGAAGTACAGACAGAACTCCTTCCCCAGCTCACTCAGAATCTGAGGTCACGTGACAGCTGAAGCTGTATTTGGGGCTCACCAGGGAAGTTGGGGATTGTCCTGGGTGTCCCTGGAGCTGGTAGGGTGCTCTGGGACAATCCCCAACTTCCCTGAAGCTTCTAGCATGGGCACAAGTCTGACCAGGGCCGATTTGGAATATTTGTTGGGGGTCCTGGGAGCATGGCAAGCTCGGGTGATGGGGATGATGGGGGTGGAGAAGTGGTCTGTTCCCCCCGCCTTCTAACATAATGTGTGCTTATTTATTGAATTTGTTGCTTGTCTGTCTGCTAGGATGTAAACTCTGAAAAGGCCGGATTTTGGCTTTTTATGTTCACTGGTGTCTCTCTAATGCCTAACACAGTGCCTGGCACGTAGAAGGTGCTCAAGAGATATCCTGTGTTAAAAAATGGCTGAAGGAATGAGGGTGGGTAGGGAGAAGAGAGGAGGTAGGGAGCAGAGAGATGAGTGGGGGTGGATGGGATGGGAGGAAGGCGGAGGGAGGGAGGCACAGACTGGCATTTGCTGAACGTCTATTACAGCCCAACGCTGGGCTTTAGTGCTTTACCATAGATTACCTGAGGTGAAATATCTCAAGTGCGTTGGTTACTGCTATACCAGGCACTGTACGTGAACTTTACATGGATTTTTCTCATTTAATCCACCACCCCTTGAAGTGGGCATGGCCATTTTCCTCGTGTTACAGAGGAGGAAATATACTGGGTGAAGTGCTTTGTCTGACATGGCAGAGTTGGGATGGGAACCCTAGTCGGATTCTAAATCCAGGAAAGAAAAAACTGGAAGGTGAGGGAATGGGGTGCATGTGGGTGATTCCGTGGTCTTAGTTTGAGAATCCTTGAGGGGAGGAGGCAAGATGGAGATCGGTGGGAGTCACCTACCGACCCGCAGAAACCTACTTTCCAAGGCTCCCCATGGGGCTCCGCTCGAGGGTCCCACCTCCCGAGGTCCCCCCTCTCTGGGAACCTCACCTCCCGAGGCCCCGCCCTAGGGACCCCACCTCCCGAGGCCCCGCCTGCCCGAAGCCCCCTTCCTGTCCCGTCCCACTCACCTGCCTCCTGGACGTCTCCCCAGCCTGTGGCCCAGCAGGCGGTGCCGTGCACGAAGCGGTGTGAGGCGCGGGGCAGGCAGACGGGCCGCACGGCGGGGCCCAGACTGGCGGGTGAGGCCAGGCGCAGCAGGGCCAGGTCGGCGCCCAGCTCCACTTGGCTGTAGTTGGCCGGCACCACGATGGCTGCCACTGCTCGGGCGTGCGCGCCGTCCAGGGGCCCGTCCTGGGAGTGCACGCCCAGCAGTACCGACCACTCGGCCGCCGGCTCCAGCGTCCCGTTCCTGCGCCCGGCCGGGGCGGGAGAAGGTTAGGTCGACCGTATAGAGGGGGCAGACCCTCGTTGGGGGGCCGGGGCTCAGAGCCAGGAGGGCAGGTGGAGTCCGATCCAGATTTGGGGCTGATACACCTCAAAGGGGAAGGGCAAATCCGATCTGGAGATGGTGGTGGGGGGGCGGTGGGGGAGAGCATTGGAAAGATGGGATTCAGACCGGGATATTCAGCGGGATGGTGGGACCAGTCCGGTGGCATCGCCCCACTCAGAACCATGATGCCTCGAAGAGCACCTCGCTTTGGGGATAGCTCGGCTTCAAATTATCCACGAGTGCGGAAGTGGGGCGGCAGGAGGGGAACAACTGCGGGGGCGGGGCTGGCCTTTGGTGGAGAGGGGCCAGGGCCGGGGCGAATACTCACTCACGTTATGAAGCAGTGAGCAGCGGAGAGGACCCAGGAGGGGGCGATGAGGGAGCCCCCGCAGATGTGGCTGCCCCCATGGTGCAGGCTCACCTGCCAAGGCCAGGTGCCCAGCTGCGCATCTGAGCCCCCCACGATGCGGGCCGAGGGCTCAGGGCGCCCGCAGTCTGCAATGGAGAGCCTTGGAAGCCAAAGCCTGCCTCGGGTCCCCCACTTCAGAAGCCCACGTAACTCAGGATAAAGCCCGTCCTCCACCCGATATCGATATCGTTTGCCGCTCTGAACAAAGAACACCAAGGACCCAGGCTCTTCTACGTTTCTGGTCTTTTCCACCTCCCTCTCATGCCCTGACCAGCCTTAGCCTCCTTTAAGGTCTGAGAGCGCCAAGGCCTCTTTCTTACCCAGATCTTCAGGTTCTTCCTGGGTAGGACTGAGAGCTGGAGCCAGAGAGTAAAGAGAGGAGGACACTTGTGACTTCCAGGCCTGCACTGCCCAGCCCCACTTCCTGCTTTCCAAGTCCGACCCTATCTTCCCAATTCCCTGTCCATTTAGCACCCCCTGCCAGCATTTGTGCCAGTCCTCCTGTCTTTTCTGCCTCTGCATGTGACTTTCCCCCAGTCCAGCTGCCTTACCTGAGTCCTGGAAGGCTCCTGGGATGGGACTGATGCCTGGGAAGACAGAGGCGGGCAGGAAGAGGCTGGGAACTGGTACTCTGCATGTGCCTTCCCTGACTCCCTCCTCCCAGCCTCATCTTCCCAGGGTACCCAGGACTCCCTCTCCCTCCTCTGATACACCCTCCTCTTTTGCTGCCTCACTTTCTTCCCTCTGACACCCTGCTCCCCACACAGAGCCCAGGAATCCTGCTCTCCAGCCCCCCAGATGCTAGGACCCAGGCTCTATGCAGTCACCCCTGTCCCCTGAGATTACCAAGCATCACAAGGGGGAGGAGCAGGTGCTGGGCCATGGGGCTGGAGTCAGTGGAGGCAGAGCCGAGTGAAGAGCTGCTTCCTGCAGGGCTCTGTCCCTGCCCAGGCAGCCCGTGACTCCCGATGGTCCCAGGGGCAGCCCCACCCTCCCTGGCTAGAGCCCATCTCTGGGAATCTGAGAGGATCTTGGGCTGGAAGGGAGAAGCTGGGGAGCCTGAAGGCCCCACCCAGAGCCCTGCGCACATCTCAGTCTCTGGAAGCCCAGGTGGGGGTGGGGGACAGGTGTCCAAGCTCCAGGACACCTGTTGGGAGGGATGAAGAACACTGTAGGCAAAGGCCAAAAGAGGAGGACCGCCAGGGGCTGAGTGGGTCCAAGGTGAGCAGTGGCCCATAGGACAGGTAAGTGAACCCTCACGGGCATGACTCACCGGAGACCTCACCTCTGTTTGGGGTGCGGCTGCCCCAGGGGCTTGGCCTTTTCTTCTCACACAGCTCTGGTTACTGGAGCTGTTGGCCAGGTCTGGGACAGGAGCCCTAGGGAATTCAATCCCATCCCAACAAAAGGATCACAGATTCCGGCAGGTTGGGCAGGCCATAGGGACCTGGGAGGGGGCCGGGCAGGCTGCCGAGGCTGACAAAAAACCTCCACCGTGTTCTGTGTTCCAGTGACAATGCTCTCAGCTGCCCTGTCACTTACTCTGTGTGACTATGGGAAAGTCACCCAACCTCTCGATGTGTATCAGTAGGAGCCCGTTTAACAGACATATGACCTGGCCCAGCATGGTGGCTCACTCCTGTGATCCCAACACTCTGGGAGACTGAGGCTGAAGGATTACTTGAGGCTAAGAGTTCAAGACCTGATGGGAGTTGAAACTCCCGTCTCAAGACCAGCCTGGGCAACATAGCAAGACCCCATCTCTACAAAAAATACAAAAATTATTCATCGCAGGGCATGGTGGTACATGCCTGTAGTCCCGTCCCAGCTACTCAGGAGATGACATGGGAGGATTGCTTGAGCCCAGGAGGTCGAGGTTGTAGTGAGCTATGATTGTGCCACTGCACTCCAGCCTGCGTGACAAAGCAAGACCCTGTCTCAACAATAACAAAAAAGAAAGGAAAGAAAGAAACATATATGACTCTTCAAAGAGGAATTGAGGAGAGTTTAAGGAAGAAACTATTTATAGAGGTGTAGGCAGGGTCAAGGGAAACCCAAGAGTCCAGGCACGGGTCCTCCCAGCACTTTGGGAGGCTGAGGTGGGCAGATCACCTGAGGTCAGGAGTTCAAGACCAGCCTGGCTAACATGGCGAAACCCTGTCTCTACCAAAAATACAAAAATTAGATGGGCGTGGTGGCACGCACCTGTAATCCCAGCTAGTAGGGAGGCTGAGGCAGGAGAATTGCTTGAACCCAGGAGGTGGAGGTTGCAGCAAGCCAAGATTGTGCCCTTGCACTCCAGCCTGGGTGACAAGAGCAAAACTCCGTCTCAACAAAAAAAAAGGAAACCAAATGATAACACACCCTGGGGCCAGCAATAATGGAGAGCCCTTGCTACCTGCTGGCCTGAAGAGGCAGAGAGAGAGAGAGTAGTTACTGGAAACCAGCAAGAGCTGCAGCTGTGGGAGAGTAAGCTGTTAGGAGCCGTGGCCTTCAATAGAGAAATGCAGCCTTTAACAGCAGAGAGGGAGCTGCAAAAGAAAAATCCCCATCTCACTCTCCTCTAATCCTATTTTATTTTTAATTAAACCAATTAAAAATTTTTAGAGACACGTTCTGTATTTTTTTTTTTTTTAAGAGGGGGTTTCACCATGTTGGTCAGGGGCTGGTCTTGAACTCCCAACCTCAGGTGATCTGCCCACCTTGGCCTTCAAAGTGCTTGGATTATGGGCGTGAGCCACCATGCCCAGCCTAGAGATGTGTTCTCACTATGTCACCTAGACTGGAGTGCAGTGGTGTAATTATAGCTCACTGTAACCTTGAATTCCTGGGCTTAAGTTTTTTATTTTTATGGAGATGGGGTCTTGCTATGCTGCCCAGGCTGGTCTCAAACTCCTGTCTCAAGCTATCTTGCTGCCTCAGCCTTCCAAAAGTCCTGGGATCCTCCCATCCTCTGATCCTCGCCAGCTCTTCTCATTGTTTGAAATCTCCCAGAGGCCTGAGTGCAATGGAGCCCGTTATGTACTCCGTAAAGTTCATTCTTGGGGAACAAATCGGGGTGGAGAGCAGAAATGCAGGGTCAACCAAGAATATTCATACACACATATCTATCTTCTTACCAATAATATCAGCTAATAATAATATTGATCTATGAGTCTAGTTGCCCTAGAAAACAGGCCTAGGCAAAGCCTGCATTTTTGTGCTTGATTGGGAGGTGCAGTTCCAGGGTGGCAAGAGTGAGGGAAAATGAGAAGTGAGAAGGAAGAGGGAAAATGCAAATCCAGCCGCCCAACAACAGACTGGACTCAACTGAGAATCCTGCTTGCCTTAGCTTGTCCACAGGAGATGGTGGAGGTAAATTGAGTTTTAATTTCAGGCTTGTTAACAGTTAGAGTCTCCTGCCAGGCATGGTGACTCACACCTGTAATCCTAGCACTTTAGGAGGCCGAGGAGGGGCATGGATCACCTGAGGCCGGGAGTTCGAGACCAGCCTGACCAACATGGAGAAACCCTGTCTCTACTAAAAATACAAAATCAGCCAGATGTGGTGGCTCATGCCTGTAATCCCAGCTACTCGGGTGGCTGAGGCAGGAGAATCACTTGAACCCAGGAGGAGGAGGTTGCTGTGAGCCGAGATTGTGCGATTGCACTCCAGCCTGGGCAACAAAAGTGAAACTCCATCTCAAAAAATGTAAATATAAATATACTATGAATATAAATAAACAGAATCTCCTCGGCCATTTGTTTAACTTGCTGCTTGGGGAGCTATTTTCCCCTCAAAGGATAAGGAACCAATCATTTAACAAAAACTCAGAAAAATAAGGTAATGGGCAAAGGTAGGAAAGAAGAGTGTGGGTGTCATGAATGCCAAACAAGAATGCCCTGAAGACCCTCACTGATGGAGCGCTTCCTCCAATTCAGTGGTTAATAAACATTTTGGGACCAGGTGCAGTGGCTCAAGCGTGTATCAGCACTTTGGGAGACCAACATGGGAGGATTGCTGGAGGCCAGGAGTTCAAGACCAACCTGGGCAGCATAGCGAGATCCTGTGTGTGGTCGTGTGTACCTGTAGTCCCAGCTGCCCAGGAGGCTGAGGTCCAAGGATTGCTTGAGCCCAGGAATTTGAGGTTATAGTGAGCTATGATTGATTGCATCACTGCACTCCAGCCTGGGTGACAGAGCAAGACCCTGTCTGAGATAAATACATACATCAATAAACAAGCATTTTGGTTTTAGGATCCCCTTACACTTCAATTTTATTTATTTATTTATTTTTGAGATGGCATCTTGCACTGTCGCCTGGGCTGGAGTGCAATGGCCTGATCTTGGCTCACTGCAACCTCCGCCTCCTGGGTTCATGCAGTTCTCCTGCCTCAGCCTCCTGAGTAGCTGGGATTACAGGCACATGCCACCACACCCAGCTAATTTTTTGTATTTTCAGTAGAGATGGGGTTTCACTATGTTGGCCAGATGAGTCTCGAACTCCTGACCATATGATCTGCCTGCCTCGGTCTCCCAAAGTGCTGGGATTATAGGTGTGAGTCACCGCGCCCAGCCCTATTTATTTATTTATTTATTTTGAGACGGAGTTTCGCTCTTGTTGCCCAGGCTGTAGTGCAATGGCATGATCTCGGCTCACCGCAACCTCGGCCTCCCGGGTTCAAGTGATTCTCCTGCCTCAGCCTCCTGAGTAGCTGGAATTACAGGCATGCGCCACCGTGCCTGGCTAATTTTTGTATTTTTAGTAGAGACAGGGTTTCTTCAAGTTGGTCAGGCTGATCTTGAACTCCTGACCTCAGGTGATCTACTGGCCTCCGCCTCCCAAAGTGCGGGATTATAGGTGTGAGCCACCGCGCCTGGCTACACTTCAATTTTATTGAGGAATTCAAAGAGCTTTTGCTTATGTAGGTTATACCTATCAATATTTGCTCACATTAAAACTGAGAATCACTTAAAATACTTATTAATTCACTTAAGAAACAGTAAGTGCATTATATGCTAATGTAAATAGCATTCTTTTTTTCTTGAGACAGAATTTTGCTCTTGTTGCCCAGGCTGGAGTGCAATGATGCAATCCGGCTCACTGAAACCTCTGCTTCCCAGGTTCAAACAATTCTCTTCCTTCAGCCTCTTGAGTAGCTGGGATTACAGGTACCTGCCACCACACCTGGACAATTTTTATATTTTTAGTAGAGATGGGTTTCTTTCTTTTTTTTTTAGACAGAGTCTCACTCTGTCCCCAGGCTAGAGTGCAGTGGTGGGATCTCCGCCTCCTGGGTTCAAGCAATTCTCAGGCTTCAGCCTGCTGGCGCCTGTCACCAGGCGTTTTTATTTTTTTATTTTTTTATTTTTTAGAGACAGGGTTTCACCATGTTGGCCAGGCTAGTCTTGAACTCCTGGCCTCAAGTGATCCACATGCCTCGGCATCCCAAAGTGCTGGGATTACAGGCGCGCACCACCATGCCCAGCAAATTTTTGTATTTTTAGTAGAGACGGTGTTTCATCTTGTTGACAAGGATGGTCTCCATCTCTTGACCTCGTGATCCACCTACCTCGCCTCCCAAAGTGCTGGGATTATAGGCGTGAGCTACCTCGCCAGGCCAAGACAGTGATTCTTAACCCTTTCCCCAACCCAACAGATATGAGAAGTAGGGCTTGCTCTTCTAAATAGCGAAGAGGTTGCTCAGACGTGGTGGCTCCCGCCTGTAATCCCAGCACTTTGGGAGGCCAAGGCAGGTGTATCACCTCAGGTCAGGAGTTTGAGACCAGCCTGGCCAACATGGAGAACCCCCATCTCTACTAAAAATACAAAAAATTAACTGGGTGTGGTGGTAGGTGCCTGTAACCTCAGCTACTTGAGAGGCTAAGCCAGGAGAATCGCTTGAATTTGAGAGGCGGAGGTTGCAGTGAGCTGAGATTGCACCATTGAACTCTAGCCTGGGAACAAGAGTGAAACTCTGTCTCAAAAATAAATAAATAAAAATTAAAAAATAAACAGTGCAGAGGCTCGAGAAAGCAATGGATCATGTGGGAGGAAGGAGAACATTTTCCTCTAGGGAGACAGACTGGAGTTTCTAAGGGAGCAAGTGCAGTTTGCAAAAGCTGCCCAGGTGATTCTGGAAGCTTCATCACTCTAGGATGCCCTTGATTGTAACTAGCAGCCAAGGTAAGGAGGGAAACCCACGCAGGAGTCTCTGTCTTCCAGGTTCAAGGACAGAAAGTAAATTTCTCTTCGGAGCCAGGTGTGCCGGTGCACATCTGTAGTCCCTGCTACTCTGGAGGCTGAGGTCGGGCCATCCCTTGGGCCCAAGAGTTCGAGTTCAGTCTGCGCAACACACGTAGGGAGCTCATGTCTCTTTACTTGGGTA